TACCATAAGTAATTACATTCCATGAAGTTACAAGGAGCTCACAGGCTCCACATCGGGTCTCAGCACATATTTGTCTACATATATGGGAGGTCAAACAATAAATCATCATGAAACACAATTTTCATTACAACCAAAGCAAAAGAAAGGCCTCAGAGGGGAAGAGAAGAGGAAGAGGAAACATAGATAAGAGAACCTTTAGAAACATCAAAAAAACTCACAGATCCATTTATCATAATCCAGAAACACCCCACCCGACCCAGAGGCCTTGCACATGCTGAATTAAAGGTGGAGAGATGGTGGAGAGACTATAGCGATTGCTCCTCTTTGAGGAAATTAACAAAAATGTTTCATCAGAATCAAAACGATATTGGTATCGGCTGTCATGGAACTCCGACAGACTCCCAGAATCCAGGTGGAGGAGTGGGTCACATCCACTTCCCAGTAATGCCTGCCGAGGTGAACGCTGCGCTCCCCACACAGCAAAGCTCTCCACTCCCTGGGGATCCATGGGTGCACTGCGATGGGTCACTCCAAATATCACACGTCTCACATCCTCAGAAAGGCTTATATAGCAAGGAGTCATTTCCGTGCTCAGAGCATTATCCACTGACAAGGAAAAAATACTGTATTAGTGAGAGCTATGAGTGACAGAGGCTCTGTGGCCCAATTATTCACTTCATTTGCTTTCTTTCCAAGAAAATACAGAAAAGAGGAAGCCAAGAGAGTCCAGTGCCATGCATCCATGAAGATGAAATGTCATTACAACTCTACAGCACATACAATTATATATTGTTCCTAATAATAGAGAAAAAATGTGACCATATCCCTGGGAAGTAATGATTAATGTCTACCTCTGCACAGTTTGTTTCAGGACATATCAACAATTTTTCTCTTTAATAGAAAAACTTCTCATATTATTTGTCTTTAAGATCATCAATAGGTGGACCATCACCTTGCTGTGATGTATTTATTGGAAATGTAGTTATGCCTGTTATGTCTCAAACATCAAAACTTTGGTAGAAATTAACACATGTAAAGTTTATAAGTTTCTGAAAAGCATACTCTGGCTTTAAACTATCTGTTTAGCCCCCGATTCAATCTGCTCTGGGTCCTGCCCTCTGCTACCTAGACCTGCTCTCTAGAATGAGCCTAACATGGTTAGGCCGTGTTCACAGATCCCTCAGCTTTCAGTTGTTACGAGATGTATCTGATGGCATTAGAATTATCCTGATTATGGACATTTTAGTCATTTTCTTTGTTGATCAAAACTTCTGAATTTATAAATAGTAAAGTTTACTTGTAAAATGAATGTAAATGCACATAGAATAGAACCAATTAAAACCATTATGCCAAATCTAAGCCTTCAAAATTGAATTAAATTGAATACACACAAAAACTGATGCCACCATGAGAATTAGTGTCTTCATAACTACATACATGAATATTCTTGTCCTCTTATTCTGAAGATAAAGTATGTATCTTGCTTCACATTTTCATCAAACTCTAACTCAGGAAATTGAGTTTTGATCATTGTATATTACTATGCAGGTAGAGAAGATGCACATGTTTTGGAAAACTATGTATTACTACACGTCAAAAATAATAAAACTTAATGGGAAAAGCCTCGACCAACGGACCAAATAAAGAAATGATTTGAGGCTGGACTGCCAAGCAGCTGGCTCTTACCTCTGAAGTTGTTGAGCATGTCTAGGACTCCAGTTATGCGCCCGTGAAGTGAGCTCTGGGTTCACTGGCTGGGCTTTTGCATCTGTGCCAAAATCAGCCCTGCAAAAAAATGGTCTCAGTTATATTTCCAGGTCCAAAGCTAATCACACAGTCATACAAGATATCATATTTCATATAAGATGCTTTCCTCAGAATTTTGCCAGTTTTGGTTAACTGCATGTGCATTTTATTCCACACTCCTAGGGGCCATAAAAAATGTTACTTTTTCTGAATTTTATTGCATAAAAACCCAAATTTCGCCCAGATATGCTGTTTTCAGATATTACACAACTTCTAAACTCATTAAAAGTCATTACCTCCCTCTGCCCATCACACCTCCTGAGGGAATTAAGAAATCCTGGAAATATTTCAGAGAGCAGAAAACTCAGACAAAAGCATTTGGGACCACAAGCCTGCAGTTGTCACTAATGTTAGTCAGTGTCTAACAGAGAAAGTTCACTGACAAAAAAGGGCTTTAATCTTTTGTGCAAAACAAAGGAGTCTAATTCGCAGCCTGAGAACCCTGCTGCTGAGGGTCCGAGGCAACCATTTCCTGAGGTCTTTTCCTAGAAATGGATGTATGTGAGGAGCAGTCCTGGTCATTTGCATGCTTTTACGGACATCAAAATTCCTCCTCAGCCCACCCAAGAGGGAATCTCTCTCTCTCTGCCGTTTTCTTTTTTTTTTTTTTTTTCCAAACTTCCAACCCCTCTAGAGTAGGAAGACAAACTATGATTCCTCAGAGAATTTATGTATTAAGATTTGTGGAGTAGGCTGGACAGGATGATGGACTCGGCAAAGAACAAACGTTCAGAAATGGCAAATAGCTTCCCAACTAAAAATATTTTATTAGACTTCTCTTAAGTCAGCAAAGCAGTGTCATTACTGACCCAGTCTTCCCTTATTTTCAGCTTATGTGCAATAACAAAATTACCTTTATTTTTAAATTTGTTTTATTTCATATTTTCAAGGTATACAATATGTTGTTTTGAGATACATACACATAATGAAATGATTACTATAATGAAGAAAATTAACAAATATATCATATCACTTATCTGTGCTTGTTTTTTATGATAAGAACATCAAAAATCTAGTCCCTCAGGAACTGTCTTTCATATTCCGATATACCATCAGGTTGTACTCAGATTCATTTATTCTACATTACTGTGCCTTTTACAACTTTTGTCCTTCGTTTACCTATTCTCTCCCTGTCAATGTAAGCACCTTTTTTAATGTATTGACTCTCTCTCAAAATAAGAATTCTCAATCTGCAGGGCCATGAAGTATTTTTGCTCCTGTGTGGTCGTCTTATTCATTGAGAAAACTGCATTTTACATGCCCTGTCTACATTTAGTACAGGAAATAGAGTGCTAGTCAAGAAATGGTCTGTTTTGTTAGATTTATTTTTTCCAAGTTATCCTCTTTATCAATTTTTTTGTACTATAAAAGAGTCAAAATTCTTGTATTAAAAGTCTGTACCCAGGCTATTGATAATAATTTTTTTTTTTTTTTTTTTGAGACGTGTCTTTCTCTGTGGCCCAGGCTGGAGTGCAGTGATGTGATCTCTGCTCACTGCAAGCTCTGCCTCCCAGGTTCACACCATCCTCTGCCTAAGCCTAACCCAGTAGCTGGACTACAGCCAGCGCCCACCCCACCACGCCAAGCTAATTTTTTTTATTTTTTAGTAGAGATGGGGTTTCACCATGTTGGCCTGGATGGTCTCGATCTCCTCACCTGGTGATCCATCCACCTCGGCTTTCCAAAGTGCTGGGATTACAGGTGTGAGTCACTGCACCCTGCAGATAAATAATTTCTTTTAGGGATAAAAAACTCAAAAAGTTCAAGATTTCTGGATTAATGATTGACAATGTTCTTAGTGGTGTCTCTTTGATTTATTTCAATTTTAAGTAAGTCTTGGTGACAGTCTAACATAAATTTTGACAGGTGAAGAGAATAAATAACTACGGTATCTCTAGGAGAATCAATAGAATAAGATTATCTTGGTTAAATGGCTAAGAAAGTATGCTAAATAGACACAAACATTTTTTCATCTTCCAAAATCAGAGTCAAATGCTAAATGATCGTAAGGTAGCTAATTCTGTCTTTCTGCAAAAGTGAATCTGAGCTAAATTAGAAGAATGTCAGGAATAAATTTTTCCTTGCAAACTAGGAACAACTAATGTAATTAAATTATGAGGCGTTGACTATTGCATAGAGTTTTAGCATCAACAGAAAAGCTCACAAAACATAGGTGAAAATCAAAAAGGAGTGCTGGGTTGGAGCCCTAAGGTGAATAATTTTATCATCTCAGATCACTTGGAAAAAAGCAGTGAGTCCAAAAGATGCGGGTGAGAAGCTTTCTCTCTGCTAATCCCTAATGTTCTGCAATAAACATGTGCAGGCAGAAGAGAGAGATTATTATAAAGTCTATGTGGTATAAAGTGAAGGAATAAGAGAACATTTCTGAGAAGTATTTTCAAAATTTGGAGAATCATTCCTATCTAAATCATTCATTTAAGGGACTAAAATACAAGTAAGATGTTTCTTGCCACATAACCCTCAGCTAGCCAGGCTCTGAAAAGGACAACACTGGACACTTTGACAGTGATAAAAAGCAGGGTTTACTCACTCTGGAATACTAAGGACTGATGATAATCTTAAGCAGCACCTTATCTCTTTGGTTGAGGTTCTGCTTTGTTTCGTTGAACAAATCTCTTGGGTTATTTTCTGTTGTGCCAGTCATTTAATTTGTTTTCTGAATCAAATGATGAGAATAAATATTGTTTTGAATGTAAACAGCATTACCAGATATATCTTACATCTTGGTGTGCCATGTGCCTAATTTTGAACCTATAGGATGGGAATCAAAGCATTGTGAAGAACACCAGATGATTTCCTTATAGCCAAATACTCTTGTCCATCCTGCTTTTCTTTTGGCTTTCCTGCTGCATGGGTCATGGCAATAAATGGGAGTTTTCTGCACACAGAGAAAAAATTCACTTATTGAAGATGTTAGTCTTCTTCTTGACCAACTCCTATATTGGTACAAACATGTGAGAGCAATGCACCTTCTGAATCATTTCAAATTTGTGGTCTTTGTTAAAGCAGGTAAGCTGGTGCCTTAGGAGACGTAGCTTTCACATTCTATTATAGAATTTTCCATTCTGTATCATCTGGATTCTTATTTAAAATTTAAACTAATGTTGTTCTTTCTACTGCATAAGAATATTTATACCACTTTATGCTTAGTAAGTAATTAAACGTATACATCAGTTAAAATCAGGACAGTCTCCATTATTCTAAGTCCTGTTCCTGTTCCCCGTCATCTTACATAGGAACCTTCCTCTTTCAATGGTTTATATTAAAAAACCTAAGACAATTGAAATCAACCCTATAAAAATCATGCTACAATTATTTTAAACCCTAACATAACAGTATTATCTTTGACAGGAATCTGAAAATCAATTTATTTCTTATCTTTTGATAGATATTCATTAGTATGTTCTATCCTATTTGGTTACTTACATTTTGAAAAAGTTTCTTAATGTTAGAATAGTATTACATAACTCCTCTACTTATCCATTTATTCATTTTATTTATTGTGTTATCTATTCTAAAAATTGCATTGGATAATGGTAATATATTAGCAAAGAAGACAAATAGTGCCATTACCCCCTTGGAATTTTCAATCTGGTAGTAATAAGAATAAGAGTTTTCTGAATATTATAATCTGATATAATATACTCAGAGAATTTGTAATAGCAGAACAACCCAGCACTGAGAAACTGTTGTATGAGCTGAAATGTGATTAATAACTAGGATGTTGCGAAATAGTAAAGTCTGTGAGGTCAACTTAACTTGGTCAGACTTAAAAAGAAAATAAGCACTCTTTTTTATATATATAAAGATACATAAGATATCCACCACTTCATTTTTCTACCCCAGCCTGTTCAAATGTACAAGTAAGACAAATGGTTTACAGTATGTACAAACTAAAAACATAATCTCTGAAAAAGAAACCTGATTTAAAAAGAACTTATATTGTATGATTTTATTTACCTGAATGCAAAAACATAAAAAGTAGATTAAGTGTTATGAAGGCATGGGGCAAGGTGAGTGGAGAATAAATGTTAATGGGTATTGGGATACTTCTGGAAGTGATAAAAGTGCCCAGGTTGTAGAGAGTTCTGATGGCTGCACAAGTGCAATATACTAAATTCTCTGAATTAAATACATTAGAACATGACTTTCAGGGTAAGTGAATGAATCTCAACAAAACTTGTACAAGAAAAGCCATTATTGATGCTCTAGTAAAGATTTCACAATAACTTATTAATTAAAATAAATTAATTAACAAATGTACATATTCAAGGTGGTTATCCCATGTATAACCATAAAGTAATTACATTCCATGAAGTTACAAGGAGCTCACAGGCTCTCACACATCGGGTCTCAGGACACTATTTGCATCATATATGGGGGGTCACAATAAATCATCATGAAACCAACTTTTCATGTACAACCAAAGCAAAAGAAAGGCCTCAGAGGGGAAGAGAAGGAGGAAGGAGGAAAACCATAGATAAGAGAACCTTTAGAAACATCAAAAAAACTCACAGATCCATTATCATAATCCAGAAACACCCCAACCCGACCCAGAGGCCTTTGCACATGCTGAATTAAAAGTGGAGAGTTGATGGAGAGACTATAGCGATTGCTCCTCTTTGAGGAAATTAACAAAAATGTTTCATCAGAATCAATAACGATACTGCTATCTGCTGTCGTGGAATCTCTACAGACTCCCAGAATCCAGGTGGAGGAGTGGGTCACATCCACTTCCCAGTAATGCCTGCCAGAGGTGAACGCTTGTGCTCCCCACACAGCAAAGCTCTCCACTCCCTGGGGATCCATGGGTGCACTGCGATGGTCAACTCCAAATATCACACGTCTCACATCCTCAGAAAGGCTTATAGAGCAAGGAGTCATTTCCGTGCTCAGAGCATTATCCACTGACAAGGAAAAAATATTATATTAGTGAGTGCTATGAGGGACAGAGGCTCTGTGGCCCAATTATTCACTTCAGTTGCTTTTCTTCCAAGAAAATACAGAAAAGAGGAAGCCAAGAGAGTTCAGTGCCATGCATCCATGAAGATGAAATGTCATTACAACTCTACAGCACATACAATTATATATTGTTCCTTAAATAATAGAGAAAAAATGTGACCATATCACTGGGCGAAGTAATGATTTAATATCTACCTCTGTACAGTTTCTTTCAGGACATATCTAAAATGTTTTTTTTCTTTAATAGAAAATCTTCTTGTATTATTTGTCTTTAAGATCATCAACAGGTAGACATCACTTTCCCGTGATGTATTTATTGGAATGTAAGTTATGCCTGTTATAGTCTCAAACCTCAAAAATTTGGTAGAAATTAACACACATAAAGTTTATAAGTTCCTGAAAGGAATACTCTGGCTTTACAATATCTCTTTAGCTTCTGATTCAATCTACTCTGTGTTCCTGCCCTCTGGTACCTAGACCTGCTCTCTTGAATGGAGCTAACATGCTTAGGCCATGTTCACAGATCCCTCACCTTTCAGTTGTTACGTATCTGATGGCATTAAAATTGTCCTGATTATGGATATTTTAGTCATTTTTTTAATCAAAATGCTCTGATTTTGTAAATAATAAAGGTTACTTGTAGAATGCATGTGAGTGCACATAGAATAGAATCAATTAAAAAACATTATGCCAAATCTAACCCTCAAAATTGAATTAAATTGAATAAACACGAAATACTGATGCCACCGTGACAACTAGTGTCTCCATAACTACATGATCTGAATACTCTTTGTCCTCTTATTCTACAGACAAAGAATGTACATTGCTTTACATTTTCATCAAACTCTAACTCAGGAAATTGAGTTTTGCTCTTTGTAGCATTACTATGCAGATGGAGAAGATGCACATGTTTTGGAAAACTATGTATTACCTAGATGTCAAAAATTATAAAACTTAAATGGGAAAAGCCTCGACCAAGGGATCCAATAAGGAAATGATTTGACGCTGGACTGCCAAGCAAGCTGGCTCTTACTTCTGAAATTGTTGAGCATGTCTAGGACTCCAGTTATGCACCATGAAGTGAGCTCTGGGTTCACTGGCTGGGGCTTTTGCATCTGTGCCAAATCAGCCCTGCAAAAAAATGGTCTCAGTTATATTTCCAGGTCCAAAGCTAATCACACAGTCATACAAAGATATCATATTTTCATATAAGATGTTTCTTCAGAATTCTGCCAGTTTTGGTTAACTGCATGTATATTTTATTCCATACTCTAGGGGCCATACAAATGTTACTTTTTCTGAATTTTGTTGCATAAAAACCCAATTTCCCAGATATGTTGTTTTCAGACATTACACAACTTCTAAAGTCATTAAAAGTCATTGCGTCCCTCTGCCCATCACACCCCCTGAAGGTATGCAAAAATCCTGGAAATATTTCAGAGAGCGAAAATCTCAGACAAAAGTCTTTGGGACCTCAGCCTGTAGCTGTCACTAATGCTAGTGAGTGTCTAACATAGAATATGCACTGAGACAAAAAGCTTTAATCTTTTGAGCAAAACAAAGGAGTCTAATTCCAGCCTGAGAACCCTGCTGCTGAGGGTCCTGAGGCAACCATTTTCCTGAGGTCTTTCCTAGAACTGGGTATATTGTGATGGAGCAGGTCCTGGTCATTGATGCTTTTAGGAACAAAACCTTCCTCCTCAGCCCACCCAGAGGGAATCTCTCTCCTCCCTCTGTCTTTGTTTTTTTTGTTGTTGTTGTTGTTTTTGTTTTTTTTGTTTTTTTAACCTCCCACCCCTCTCCAGTAGAAGACAACTATATGATTCCTCAGAGTAATTTTGTATTAAGATCTGTGAGGTGAGGCTGGACAGGATGGATGGACTGAGAAGAACAAACTTCAGAATGGCAAACTGTTTTTACATATATTTGAATTCATACAAATTTTAAGATGAAAACTTTCCAGACCAAAGAGAAGAAGACCTCAGGCCCTCTTTTAAAACAAAAATGGAAATAGCAACTCCGAATGATATTAGTACCTCAATATGTATACATCCCCTTCATTCACAAGAGAATGAACTTTTCAGAAATAGCATTTTTTAGTGTAAACTCCCCTTGCCGATACATTTCTCACATCCTGCAAAAAATAAAAGATAATGTTAATTATGAGATATTTTTCCTTCGACATTTTTTTCTCATACTCTTGTTTCTTTCTGTTTTACTGTTTTAAAAATGTCAATCTTTTTCTTCCCCTCTAAGGAATCATTCTAGGCTACATTAATAACAGAACCTCAACTAAATAATGAAAAGCTTCATCAGTGGGCATGAAGAAGAAAGGAGCTGAGCAAGAGATGGTGGAGTAAAGCAAAGATATCTAGGCTTCCAGTGTCATTAATTTCCTAATCTTATTTCCAAGGAAAGGTCTGACCACTCATGACAACTATTAAAACAAAACAGAACCATATGAGAAACAGAGTACATGGACAGTGATGAGCAACTTTTACAAACCTCGACCAGACAAGGGGAAAACCCTCAACGTCTTCAGCAAATCACTGTTGTGTGGGACATCAGAGAGTGAGGAGGAACTAGGGCATATAAATGGAGTATTACTAACCTTCCCCTAGCCTCAAGTTCTAATGATTTTAGATGATCTCTCTGTTAGGATATTACTCCAAATTATATTGAAGAGAATCTTGTTATATGTGTTCTGCTAAAATGGTAAAAATTTCCCAAAGATTACCAAAGTATGCAGTAATAAGTGACCGGACAAAGGTAATGTAATGGTGGGAGTCAGACAGCATGTGTCACTTAGCTTAGAGCAGTGACATATGCAGGTGACATGTGCATGTCCTGGTAGCAATGTCCAGCAAGGACTTCCTGTCTCTGAGGATGGACCCTCCCTCCTCACCTGGAGCAGCTCCACGTCAGGCATGTGGCACGTTTCCCGCAGCTCTCTGTACATGTCTTTCATCCTTTCTAAATGTTGGGTCATTCTCACTTGACTGTCTTGTAGTTGTTGGAAAAGCTCTTTTGCTTCTCTTTCCAGTGCCTGCAGATGCAGTTGCTCCTCCTCATCGAGAAATATATGCATCTTTTGATATTGAATAGTGATTATCACCTTCCTTAAAGAGACATAGTCCTGCAGAGATGTTTGGTTAAAAGAATTACATATTCTCACTCTCAATAGAAAACTTCAAATTATTATATGCTGGGTGTAATCAAGCAATTTGTAAACTTTCTGCCTCACTCTTGCAAAGAGTGTGGAATATTTGGTGTTTTTTTTTCTGTCCATCTGTTTCAATATTCCTATTCTCTCTCCTTTTTTAAATCAAAACTTATATAAAGACTCCTGGTTTCTGTCACTGTGATCCTTCTTTACAGTTCTTACTGAGTCAATTATTTCCTCTATTTATTTCTCTTTTAGGATTTTTCCATATCTGATTCGCCTAAATGTTAAAGAACATTTAGCCATACAACACATTATGCTTTTTTTCTTTTTTACTTTTACTATATTTTAACTCTATATACTCTTCTATTTCTGTCCTCTTCCTCACACCCAGTCTCAGTGAAATGTTGTCTCATCTCCAGTGTGTGAAAAGGTTATACCAACCTTCAAATTTGACTAGAATACATATCATGCTATTTATCCAGTATACTAGAATTAATTTGGTTAGCTTGTGTGGGCTGCTCTCTTTGCGATTCCTATTATATCAATTGAAATCACTACATTTTCTTGGGATGAAATCACTATCTTTTAACTGGTAGTTGGAATTTAGCTAAAATGTATAAGCCAACATTGTGTTTATTTGCATAAAAATAAAGAAAATACTTTCATTCTTACCACTAACGAACGAAATTTGCTAGTTTCCTGATTTAGATTATTTTGTGTCTCTTGATTGATTTTCCATAAAATAGTCCAATTCGTTTATAAGTTTCTGCCTGCAAAAGAAGCAAGAAGCTTAGCAATAATGAAGACAGTGTATACTAGATTTCATTCCCTTATCAATTAAATAAATAAGGCTGTAATTGAAAGAACATAAATTCACAGTTAGAGTGGAGTGGTCAGATTTTACATGTTAAAAATTTGGTCTAATAATTTGGATGTGAAAAGTCATAGAATATAATAGAGAGTTTTAAGGGACCCTTCAGATAATATCATCAATTTTCTGGTGGAACTGGCTTTTATATAACATGACGGTTGTGAAAGTGTTCTTGTGCTGGTCACTGTTCGCCACAGCTCATTCTGTATGCGAACAATGTGTGTCGTAAGGAAACCTGCCTTTAGTGAAGTCTCAACACCAGCTGATGGATTAGTAGGCCAAGATTAGTTAGCAACATTTGAAAGAACATTTATGTGTTAGTGATTGACATGAATAAAACCACTCCCGAAATCTGATCTCATCACCACTCATTTGTCATTAGGCCCTCATCATTGCTTTTTGGGACTCTATACATGATCAAACTGCCTTTAGAGGCATCACATACCCTGCATTCCTCAGCAGCCCATCGCTATTGGACTGTTGGGCTGTGAGCCATTGTGGCTCTGTGTGACTTCAGATGCAGGCCCACAGAGCAATTGGCTTGTCAACCTCACAGAGAGCTCCTTAGTCTCTTCATGGAGCACAACAGATATTGTGTGGTTGTTGATGGTTGCTGAGGTCTGGTCAGTCTGGCTAGGGAAAGCCCAGCTTTTTGAGTCGAAATGGTGTTTGAAGCGGGCTCGCTGAGATTTTTCTGCACTCAGGGCAGCGCATTGGTGCCTGCCTTCTTCCCAGCAGAAGTAGAGGCAGGCCGCATAAAGCTGTGCCCACAGTCAATGGTGACCGGGTCTATGAAGTAGTTCATGCAAATGGGCAAATGAGCTCATTCTGGAAGGCTTGCAGGGTGTCTGAATCCATATCTCTGAAAATTTAAAAAAAAAGTGAGAATTTCTTTCTCTTTATTTTTATTTGCCCCGATGAAAAGGGAAAAAAAAAAAGCCAGTGGACATTTCCTTGTCCTACTTGAGGTCTGTCCAATATGTCTAATAAGTTAGCTCCAGTATAAACTGAGACATAGTAAATGCAAACATGCTGGATTTATAAAGATTTCCCTCAATAGCCGTTGAAGATTGGGTCCAGGACTCCCTGATATACCAAGATCCTAAGATGTTCCAGGCTCTTATTAGTAAATGATGTGGGATTTGTATGTAACCTAAACCTATCCTCCTGAATACTTTATGTCTAGATTACTTTGAATGCCTAATACAATGTAAATGCTGTATAAATGCTTGTAATGCCATACTGTTTAGGAACAGAAAGAAGATTGTTAAAAATATGTACATGTTTGGCAGGGCGCGGTTGCTCACGGCCTGTAATCCCAGCGCTTCGGAAGGCTGAGGTGGGAAGATCACGAGGTCAGGAGACCGAGACCATCCTGGCTAACATGGTGAAACCCAGTTTCTATTAAAAATACAAAAAATTAGCCGGGCGTGTGGCACATGCCTGTAGTCCCAGCTATTCAGGAGGCTGAGGCAGGGGAATCGCCTGAACCCAGGAGGTGGAGGTTGTAGTGAACCGAGATGATGCCACTGCACTGCAGCATGGGTAATGAGTGAGACTCTGTCTCAAAAAAAAAAAAAAAAAAAAAAAAAAAGGAAAAAAAGGACATGTTCATTACAGCTGCTTTTTTCTCCTGTAAATATTTTTTTCTGAGATTAGTTGAATCCACAGGTATGAAACTTATGGATATGAACAACCACTGTGATTCAAATGAGAAAATGAGATGAGAGCCCTCATAGTATTTTTGTTAAACAAGCCATGCTCTCAATCATTCCCAGTTACTTAGCAAGCTTAAAGCCTGGGTAGAGGGTAAAAGCTGAGATGATTTCTCAGTCACTTATATAAGCTGATTCTTATTTCTTAATCTCATTCTTAAGAACATTCTTAATCTCGTTCTGTCTCTGTCATTCTCTCTCAACGATTCCATGATGATAATATATGAAAGACACTTAGTATCTCTGCTATTATTCTGTACTCCCTGCCTCCAAACTCACCTATGAAGTTTGCTCACACAATTATAAATGAAGTAGATTTTATCTAAGATTGATTAATCAGAATGGACTATCAACTCCTAAAATTATCAATCATTAAATTTGTCCATTTAACTTTAATATCAAAACTCTTCCTTTCAAAACATTAATTGTATCTAATATCTATTATTTTTAATTTAGAAAATTTTTTCCCATAGTCAATTCAGATGATTAGAGAAAACACTGTCACATTCTGAAATAACGAATATTTAAACTATAATAATTTACAAGAATTAATCAACAATTAATTATCTTCTAAAATAGCAATAAAAGTGAAGACATGTATTAGGCTTTCCACTTTACACTAGAAAATCCGGAAATGTAGTTAATGGAAGCCTGGCCACAAATTCATCTCTCCTCTTAGTGACTTGGGAGTTGCAGCCTCTTGGGAGCCCTTGTCAGAGGGTTACATCTATTTTCTTTCTTTCTTTCTTACCTTACTTTTCTTTCCTTCCTTCCTTCGTTCCTTCCTTCCTTCCTTCTTTCTTTCTCTCTCTCTCTCTCCCTCCCTCCCTCCCTTCCTTCCTTCCTTCCTTCCTTCCTCTCCCCTCCTTTTTTTTTTTTTTGGTTGTTGTTTTTGAGGTGCAGTCTCACTCTGTCACTCAGGCTGGAGTGCAGTGGTATGATCTAAGCTTACTGCAACCTCCGCCTCCCAGGTTCAAGCAATTCTCCTGCCACAGCCTCCCAAGTAGCTGGTATTACAGTCACCCACCACAATGCTAGGATAATTTTTTTGTATTTTAAGTAAAAACGTGGTTTCGCCATGTTTGCCAGGCTGGTTTCTAACTCTAGACCTCAAGCGATCTGCCTGCCTTGGCCTCTCAAAGTGCTAGGCTGCAAACATGAGCCATCGCGCCTGGCCAATTAAAACTATTTTCAACGGCTTTCAAATCTAGTCTGCAAACTGCAAATTTTGAAGAGACGCAAATAAGACCATTGCAACAAGAATTTTCAAAGTAATTCAACATTTTTAACATTGACTTTGGTGTACATTATAAGCATTACTACATGCCCACATTCTAGTGAACATTTTATCTATTTTATGGGTTCTATCGTTGCATGAAACTATGGAAATATATCTTTTCACACTTAAAAACTAACAATACAGAAAATAGTCACATAAGAAGAATCAAATAGCAAGGCAACACAAACCAGGTGTTACAAACTGAAGATACTTTATATTGATTTTCTGTAAAATTACTAAGATAGTTACCTGTTTGCTTAGAAAAGAACCAAGCATGCTGCCAGGTAAATTTAAAGTATTTTTAAGAGAAAAAGTGAGCATGATGAGTTTACTGCAAATTTTATACTCACAAGGCTACTATGAATGGTCTCAGCCTAGAAGCTCAGTAGATATCCAGATTAGAAGTAACTCCTGGTGCTCCAAAGCCCAGCAGCCACAAATCCGGTGGGTCCTCACTGAAGGAGAGAGAAGTCTCTGGACAAGCATCCTTTTAAAGGGTATGGGCCGAGGAAAGACCACACCCACTTTCTGAGATTGATTAGATTTCGCAGAAAGGGGTAAATTGGCTGATTAGGTTTATAAAGTATTGAAAACCACACTTGGGGGCTCAAAGCTCAACAGACAAGTTTGGAATGAGATGTAAGAAAGTTGACTTAACACAGGTTAATCAAAGAAATATTTTAAGTATATTTCATTAAATATCACATGCTAATTTTTGTTTTTGTTTTTGTTTCTGTTTTTGAGACGGTATCTCACTTTGTCGTCCAGGCTGCAGTGCAATGGCTTGGTCTTGGCTCACTGCAACCTCTGCCTCTCGAGTTCAAGCAATTCTCCTGCCTCAGCCTCCCGAGTAGCTGGGATTACAGGCACCCACCACTAAGCCTAGCTAATTTTTGTACTTTTAGTAGAGACGGAGTTTCACCATGATGCTCAGATTGATCTTGAACTCCTAACCTCAGGTGATCTGCCCACCTTGGCCCCCCAAAGTGCTGGGATTACATGTGTGAGCCACTGCACTGGGCCACATGCTAATTTTACAATTTTGTTTCTCACTCTCTTTTAAAATTATAATTGCTTAAGTGCCTAGCCGTTATGTATCTGAACATGTTCAACAATAAAACATTAACTGGGATTACCAGCACATCTGTACTGTGTAACTCTCTTGTTTAAAAAAGTATAGCAAGGAACACAATTGTGTTTCACATAATTGTATATATGATGGTTGATAGAATTAGTTGTATCAGCCTGTCTTTCTTCTATTTACTATTTTGACTATTTCCTAATGATTGTTTTGACTATTTCCTAATGGATTTACTGCAAATTTTATACTCACAAGGCTACTATGAATGGTCTCAGCCTAGAAGCTCTGTAGATATCCAGACTACAAGTAACTCCTGGTGCGCCAAAGCCCAGCAGCCACAAATCCGGTGGGTCCTTCCTGAAGGAGAGAGAAATCTCTGGACAAGCATCCTTTTAAACTGTATGGGACCATGAAAGGCCACACCCACTTCCTGAGATTGATTAGATTGCACAGAAAGGGATAAATTGGCTGATTAGGTTTATAAAATATTGAAAACCACACTTGGGGGCCCAAAGCTCAAGAGACAAATTGGAATGAGAGGTAAGAAAGTTGACTTAACACAGGTTATTCAAATAAATATTGTAACTATAACAATTATTTCATTAAATATTATCACATGCTAATTGTTTTTTGTTTTTTGCTTTTTTTGAGATGGTATTTCGCTCTGTAGCCCAGGCTGGAGTGGAATAGCTCAGTCTCGGCTCACTGCAACCTCTGCCTCTTGAGTTCAAGTGATTCTCCTGCCTCAGCCTCCCAAGTAGCTGGGATTACAGGCACCCCCCACTATGGCCAGCTAATTTTTGTATTTTTAGTAGAGATGGGGTTTCACCATGTTGCTCAGGCTGATCTTGAACTCCTGACCTCAGGTGATCTGCCCACCTCTGCCTCCCAAAGTGCTGGGATTACAAGCGTGAGTCACTGCACCGGGCCACATGCTAACTTTAAAATTCTGTTTGTCATTCTCTTTTAAAATTATAATTGCTTATGTGCCTAATCGTTATTTATCTGAATATGTTCAAAGATAAAACATTAACTCGGATTACCAACATATCTGTACTGTGTAACTCTCTTGTTTAAAAAAGTAGAGCAAGGAACTCAATTGTGTTTCACATGATTGTATATATAATGGTTGATAGAATTAGTTGTTTCAGCCTGTTTTTCTTATTTTTAATATTTTATGACTATTTCATAATAACTGTGTTATATGAAAATAAAATCTGTTCATCCACCTTTTTCAATAATTTTAAAACTGATACTTTACATATATATGTACATAAATATCTATAACAATGTTATGTATTCATATTTTTAAAATTATATAATTATTTACACAATAATAATAATTATTATTGCTTTTCTTTTAGATGCTGTCTCCCTCTGTCACCCAGGCTGGAGTTCAATGGCATGATCTTGGCTCACTGCAACCTGTGTCTCCCAGGTTCAAGTGATTCTCCTGCCTCACCTTCCCGAGTAGCTGGGATTACAGGTGTCTGCCACGATGACTGGCTAATTTGGGTATTTTTAGTCGAGATAAGGTTCAGCAAGTTGGCCAGGCTGGTCTCGAACTCCTGACATCAGGTGATCCACCTATCTCAGCCTCCCAAAGTGTGGGTATTACAGGCATGAGCCATGGCACGTGGCTGCTATTTACACAATAATGCACAATAATGATGTGCGTAATTACCTTTAACAGTGCATGAAAGTTATTTTTAACACAGTTACCATACTAATAGATTTTGTTGTCATTTACCATGATTTAATAAATTCATAAATTATCTAATGTTTGGGGATTTAGGTCATTTCTATAAACTGAAAATTACAAACCTTGCTAGAAGTTGAAAAACTAAAAATCTATATAAAAATCACCATTTATATATTAATAGATATTTAAAAATTATAAAATTTATAAAAGCCAGATTATCCTAGGAAAAGATGAAGTGGCTGTCTTTTTAATCAGTCCATGGCATTGCAAATTAGTATGTTTTCTGAAGTGTCATTTGATCAGCATTATGTTTCAAAAAATACATCCAATAAAGTTAAGAAAAGGTAATCATAGATACTTACGTACAGACTTTTCCAGAAATGTTGTTCTTTGAAAACTGCTTCAAACACTTCTTAAAATGTTGCATATTATCTAGCTAAGTGTAGAGAAGAAAGACTTTCTAGCATTCTCACTTCTCAGTAAAAATTCAATTCTATATTTTGTAGACTGCCCTGAATTAGACAGAAATAAACAATAAGCAACTTATGAGATGCATATAAAAGAATACAAAATAGTTGCAAATTGTATCGTTAGTAGCTGAAAAAGTTATTATCTATTTTACTACAACTGTGTTCCCATGCAGGATAGGTAAGAGAGAAAGGTAAGAACAGGAAACTTTAATAATTTGCCCATAGGCATACTCTAATGAAGTAGGAGAGCTAGGGTTTGAAGCCAGGCAGTCTCTGAAACCTGTTTTCCTTTCAGTGACATGACATATGTTGCCAAAGTATGTTCCTAAGCCACCAAATTACATACAATATTTTTGGGGGATGCTTATTGCATGCTGGCAGAATTGATTGAAATTTCTCAAATCTTTCAAGTAGTTGATTTTTTTTGAATAACAATATGCACACGGTCCCACATCTACCATACTGTCCAACTCTCTATCAATGACATGACAAAAAGCCTGTGAGCATGCTCAGCCAAACCCCATAACAAAGGCATTGTGGAAATCCTAGCGTGCAGTGCAACTCTTCTTTTCAAAGCACAGAATGACTCAGAGGGTCTCATGTGTGCACTATTCTGATCACTCACAAAATGAGTGCCTACTATGAACTCTCCTTACTGCTAGAGATTGGAGCCAAAATAGTAACAAACCTGCACATTCTGCATATGTATCCCGAAAATTAAAGTAAAAAAAAAAAAGTTAAAAAAAAACAAAACAAGACTAAGTCCTTAAGGAGCTCATGGTCTAGTTGATGGAAAGGAAGGGACAGTCATCCTAAAAGTCTTCCTAAAAGAAACAATACCTAAGCTAAAACCCAAAGGATGAGGGTAGTCTCATCTTTTCTGATAGTAAAGTCTATGTGACAGTAGTTATCATGAGAAAATATTTCGGGACGTGGCATGGTGGCTTATGCCTGTAATCCCAGCACTTTTGGACGCTTAGGTGGTTTGACCAGTCAAGCTGAGAAGTTCGAGGTCAGCTTAGGCAACATGGTGAGACTCCATCTCCACAAAAAATAGAAAAATTAGACAGGCATGATGGTGCACGCCTGTAATCTCAGCTACTGGGGAATCTCAGGGTGGACAATTTCCTGAGCGCAGGAGGCAGAGTTTGCATTGAGCCGGGATTGTGCCACTGACTCTCACCTGGGGGACAGAGTGAGATCCTGTCTCATACACACAAGAGAATATTAGTTCTGTCCTCTTGCTGGCTTGATGTCCTTTGGTTACATCTAGGCCAGAATGCTTGATGAAATGCAAATATGCCTATATTCCTACCTGCTTAACCTCATTATGGGATTTTGATAAACTACAAGAAATTAGTTACACTCCTCTCAATGTCTTCCAAAACGTAATTGATGTATTTGGTGCTCAATGTACGAATTGTTCCTCCCACAAATGCCTTGGATTCTAGTAAGGGTGAGTTCTTTGTATTTCTTTAACTTGCCACAATCATCCATACTTCTATTATTTTGTATAACATGACTACCTTGTCAGTGAAAACATAAATAAATGAAAGTAGTTTGAATCGCTGTGGAATTGCCCAGTAGAATTGATGATCCACAAATTGTATAACCCAGACATTCCACCTATCAGAAGATACTGTCAGGAAAGAAAATCTATTAAGTATTTGCATTAGGAGACATGTTCACAAAAATCAAAACACAAAAATCATTCCAAATGTACAACAGCAGAAAATGAATAAATATATTTTGTGATGCACCGTTTATCCAACTTTGGGTTATCCACTACAAACTCACTCTTGATTGTTTACATAAATAGATCTGGATCCTTCAAATACTTTTCCTTTGCCATGTGTTATGATGTCAATCTTTGTGAATAGAAAGCTTTGGAGAGAAAGTCCAAAAAAGCGCTTCCAATCTGCTTTGGAAATGACACCTCCAGTGTCTGGCCCGGAGGGTATACAGGGATACACCAATGCCCAGATTGTGTAGTTCAGGCTGCTGCTGTAGCACCCCCTTCCTGAAGTTCACTGGGGCCCACGAGAACTCAGCAGCCGCGAGCTTCTCCTGATACTGCCCTTTTCCATATTTGCAGTGGAGCCCGTCTGGCATGACATTTCTTCATAAACAGCTTCACCAGTGGCCC